TCTCCGTCTCGGCATCCTCATGTCTCCTCCTCCTCCCTCTCCCGCCATCGGTTCCTGTGCACCGTGGACAATTACACAACGGCGGCACGGGTGAAGAGCACACAGAAAAATGGTCAGGTCAAAGCTGCAGGGTCAAAGCGTACATGTATACACCTACAACGGTTTCGGTGATCGGCGCATTACATGCTCCCACACGTAGCAATCCCAATCTATCCTCCTAAAAACACCAACAACCTGTGCCTCTCGTACCATGTTGCCCATCAGATCAGTCACGGTGAAGAGGCAGGGGTCGGGCCGTGGAAGTATTTGTTGAAGAGGAAATGGTCGTTGCCGGCTCCAGGCTCGAAAACGTGGCGCCACACGTTCCCTTTCCCGCTCTCTGAAACCGCCCCCCACACCCGCCCTCGGGGCACTGATGATACATGTGCACAACGCGCCGGATGGCGTCCGCTGGAAAAAACGACAACCTCTTGCGCAGTCTCATCACAGCATGCCCAGTCACGGCGTCCGACTTTTCGCTGCTTCCGACACCAGCGGTGACGTACTCGGCGACAGCCACCCATCTGGTCAGCAATCCTTCCTCGCCATCTTGGAGAGAGTTTCCCCTGTGCTGGAAGAAGAATGCAACCTTGCCCAGCGTGCATGTCCCAGCAGGGCCAGGCTTCTTGGCGTCCAGGGCCGCCCGATCGGAGTAGATCTCGACATCCGTTCCAAACGGCGGGGGGGCCAAAATCCACCGGATGTTGGGTTTGTCGAGCGCGTCTTCCATCGGCGCCCCTCTGATGGTGCCTGTGCCGCCAGAAACCCTCTCAGGGGCGCCGATCCACGTGTTGCTGCAGTCAACCTCCATGTTGACGAGATGCAGGTGTCGTTTGCGCCAACAACGAGGACAGCGGCCGTTGCCGCACATGTTGGGGTTGCTCGTCTCCCTGCCGCACGAGAACCATGCCTTGTAGAGGTCGAGGAGATCCAGCCCGCCCGGTCCCGTTCGCCGGAGGAGGGCTCCAATCGTCTCCTGCCACCCCTGTGCGCTCGGGGCCGCAGCCTGCCGCCCGAGACGGACGTTCCACTCAACGATTCCCCGGGGTCTCCCGGTGCCGTGCCGGCGGGCCCCGATCTCCCACTCGGAGATGGTCCGGAGAAGCTCACGACAGGCCGGACTAGCCTGCACGGTCTTCTTCACCCACCCCCGCTTGGTCTTGTCGTAGCCCCAAGCCGTCCACCTCACTCCTTCCGCCATGGCCTCGGCAGCCATGGCATCATTCTCGCGGCGAACGATGTGTTCCTCGTTGTCTCGGCCACTCGCCGTCTTCGCGCAGCTCTTGAACGACTTGTGCCTGGACTCGCCCGCGTGGCAGTCCGAGAGCTCTCCTGCACAAGACAGGGGGTGTCATGACCGTCGCGCCGAGGGAAAGGGTGTGTATGTTTTCGTAACCGGTCATTTTCCTCTCCAAGGCCGGGGCGAAGCACGTTGGGTTCTCACCAAGAGCGACGCGCCGTGAAGTATGCCGCGATTGGCGTGTAGGGGGGGTACCCGTGCGCTGCTCTTCCCGGCATCCTGTTATTTACTTGCTTGAAGTATGCCGCGATTGGCGTGTAGGGGGGGTACCCGTGCGCTGCTCTTCCCGGCATCCTGTTATTTACTTGCTTGCACACGGATGACAACCGCGAATGGCTTTGATGATATTTTGTGGTGCTCTCACTTTCACAGACAGGTAGCAGCACTCCTAGCGTACCTGGCCAATTCGGCACACCGTGGTGCGATCATCCCCTTTGCGCGGAGTGAGCGTTCTCGACCACGCACAACATGATCTGCCAGACCACAATAACACGTCACTTGTTGTATGTCCTCCACGAGACGGGAAAACAAAAAAGGCGGGAGGGGGTGCTACAGCCACGCGGTCTACAAAAAAAATGGCTTACCTTAGTCGGTTGCGTTCTTGGCGAAGTGGAGTCCCTGGTGATTGCTGCACAGCCGCCCACCGTGCTTGTCCCCTAGCATGCTCATGAGGGACACCTGGTAGGAAAAAAACGCGTGTTATCCAACGTGGTGGTGGTCACTTTTAGCTATTAGTGGAGGAGCGCAACAACAACAACGAAGGTCAAGCGGGTGATAAACCATTTTTCCCACCAAGTGAGCCAAGGGCGGGTACCTTCTCTCGCTGTGACCTATCGATGGATGCCACGGTCTCGTCGTTGAAGGAGCTTGAGCGCAACAAGTGCGTCGCCTCGGAGGAGGCGAGCAGTAGGGCCCGTAGTTTCTCCATCACCTCGGTGTCTGTTACCACGGTGTCTGTTGTCGCCCCCAGCTCCGCCCGGATGTCGTTGCGGAATGGCGCGGTCGTGAGGCGTTTCTGCGAGCGACACGAAGGTGGAGCAAAAAGCAGTAAAATGTTTATTGGTGTTGTTGTATTTCGTTGTATGTTCGCATGCACATGGTGACAGCCCTCAGCACTAGACCCAAAGCAGCATCAAGAGCTCTAGACTATAGTATTATCACCTGTCGGGCAATCTTACCATCGACGCCACGCTCCTCAAGACCGGGCGGAAGACGAGGAGGGCTACACTCGACAGTGTCCAGACATCCATCCCAGACAGAGCGGAGAACCCGCCATCGCTCACGAAGTCCCTGAGCGGTGGTGTGCCGGCGACTCGCAGAGAAGGATCTTTCGCTAGACACGAGAGGAGGGGCACGCCCTTCGCTTTCGAGAGACCGCCCAAGAGGCGCTTAAAGATTTTCCGAAGGGAATTCTGGGCGTCCTGGTGAAACAGGTCTATCCCGAACGTCCGCACCATGTTCAAGTGCACGTGCTTTCGGAAAGGGTTCTCTACCTCTTGCGGGGTCACACCGTGTTTAGACGAAAGCGCCTGCCGTTGCGTCCCGGTGGGGGCCGTGCTGATCACCTTAAGGGCGTACTCGGTCTGATCATCGGTGCGGCGGTTGCGCACGATGTCGTAGTTTCCATCGGCTAGGTCCTCTTGGCCGATGGGGCACACGTGACATGGCATCAGCGTTTTGTTGGTTACCCGCTTCATGCCCAACAGTAATTGGCGTTCTGGTGAATCCGCGTCGCACAACAACAAACCAAGCCGGAAAAACACCTGGTCGCCGGGGTGGGGGGGAGGACAGTGGGTGGGATTGTGACGGGAGGAGTCAGCGAATAACCCGCGTATGCATATGCAATTGAATTGTAGGGCGTTACGTCGCATACAGGTGGCTCACCAGATGCTGGACGAAAACAACAACTAATCTTGATCGAGGCCAGAGAAATGGAAAGATAAAAAGAGATAGATCGAAAGAAAAACACATAGAGAGAGAGAGAGAGAGAGAGAGAGATGGTTGTTGCCGTCTTCACACACACAAACAAAAACGTCCTGTGGTCTCTGCTTTTACTTTCTAGAAAGCAACGAACGGACAAAAACAAACACACAAGAAGGAACCGGAGAAAAACATCCTCCAAGCACAGGGTATCTAGCGAACCCGAGCACGCAAAAAAAAAAGAGAGAAAGGGAGAGTGGGCCCATTGCCCGTGCTTGCCGGACACGCGATGCCAAAAATGAGACAAAAGGATCCCAGATGAAGCATGTATCAATGACAAGAGTCGGAGGGTCCTGTCGTTGTTCTCTATCAAACGTACCCCCACCGTCACGTGTGGGGCAACGAGAGGGAGCTCCTAGGGGGGAGTGGGTAGCAATAAGGCGTTCTTCTTGCCACCTCCATCATCAGTCTGGCACATGTCTCGCTACCGCGGTTCTGCCACCTCCGTCCTGCCACTCCTCGTGCGACGCTGAGGAGGACAAAACACTCATTTCCTCGCCAGGCGACAGCAACAAAATAAGGTCGCTTGACAGCTACAGCTCACCTCTTCGACCTTGTCCGCAATCGCGAGCCTTGCCCGGCACCCCTTCTGCAGAACGCTGATAACCTCCAAAATGAAGCCCAGATCGTCCTGCCACCTCACCCTAGGCGCCGAAAGCCCGACTAACGGCCATGCCCCAGGCTGACGACGAAAAGCTTGAGAGGTCGACGCGAAAGGGCTGAGCAGCGTAGCTTTGATGGGGTAGGATACCCCTCCCTGCGAATCGGCCGAGACAAGAAAAAACGAACTCGGAGTATATAAAAACATGTCGGGACGCACGTCGTGTGGGTTCCACAAAACAGCAAAGCGGGGGGACACCCCACCCCTCCAGAGAGGCACGCCAAAATATATTGTACAAGGTCTCCGTTCGGGACATGGGTGACGCAGGAACACACGCGCAATTGCCCGAAGAGGGGCGGCGTGTCTTATTGTCGATGGGCAGTTTTATAACGCTCATATTCAGTACAAAACATCGCGCACGTACAGTTTTTCCACGTTGGAGCCAGCTCGAGCTGACTACAACTTGCCAGCGAAAATTCAGACCTCTTTTATGATTGGTCTTGCGATAAATGGTGGCAGGTTTCCAATGAGAACTGAATCTGAATCCGAAACGAACGTCACAAACAAAATACTGTTCATCGCTGCCACGTGTAAATGACCAAACAAACGTAGGTGGGTACTGTTTGGACATTGCGACAACACGAACAGTCACAGCGATGTGGAATCAGCGAATGCATGAATGAATGTGGAGGTAAATATTTCAAACTGTCGTTGTGGATGGGTTTCAGAATTGGTTCGCCAGGCTTTGTCTGCGCCGAACCCGCCCCCGGGGTATAGAGCCAGTTTTCACAGCTTTGACCGTCAATCACACGCGATACGGAGGCCTACGGAGGTCGGGGCACGAGCGATATTGTACCGACGAGGCTCCTGCTTGCCCCTGAGAAGAAATCGCGAGAAAAGACTCGCTGCCGCGAGAGAAAGAAGTACAGAAGCATGAAACATGACAAAACCCTAGAAGTACAAAATTGAGTGACACGAGGAAAAAAAAATAAACGAGATGCACACCTGGTTGCGAAAGTCGAAGGCGTCCGTGAACAGATGGGCCGGCGTCAAGAACACTCTGCGCTCCTTGTCATTGTTCCAATGGCTTCCGTTCTGTCGTCGATCGTAAAAAGAGGCCCTCTGCCCCCTCTGGTCTCCAGGGAAGATGCTTGACTGCAGGGTCTGGTGAAGGCAGGGGTGTGTGCC